CGGATTGGGGGTCTGCACCCCGGGGAGGAGTCCAGCACAGCCCCGGCAATCCTCCCGGGGGTGTTGGCAATTCCCTGATCTGCCTGCCGGATGACAGGAGGCTGGTGCTGCTGGCTGGGGCCAGCAGCAGCACCGATCTTCCTGGCATGGGCTGTCCCCAGCGCCGATCCCAGCCCAGCGGTGGCGCCAGCAGTGGTGGGGAGGGGCGTATTGAACAGCCAGATATGAAGCTGGTGGTGCAGAGTCAACACAACCACTCTGCCCAGCACCGCAGGCCCCTCCAAAGCGCGGGGCTTGGGGCAGTCACCCTGATTCACACCCCCAGGGACAGCCCTGGCTATCACTGGGTGCAGAATAGTCTATGGGCAAAACAGCATCGAAACAGTGGAACAGTTTCAATGAAACAAAACAGAACTGTACTTAAAAAAAAAAAAACGAAACTTGAAACAAAACGCTGTTCTGTTGAAACGGGTGTCAAAGCGGGCTGCTGCTGTTTTGCACAGCCCTAATGCACAGGTGTGAAAAATATGGTATAAAGGGGCAGAGCTCTATTAAATGGAGCCATAAAACACCTGGCACCCTCATTAATATAAGATTTTTAATGAGTGCACAGGCTGAGTTGGATGATAGTCAGATGTTAGGACCTATGATTAAATATTTAGGGATGTCTGAAATCCATAGCACATCAGTGTTGGTCTTGATTTAATTTGGCTTAATTTGACCCTTAGATTTTTCCAGTTAAAAATTTTACTGAAAACAACTCAAAGTAGAGATTAATGTAAATTCTTTGACATAGTTTTGGATTCTGGATCTGAAACTATGCATGATGCTAGTTGTCTGAGTTTGAGGAGCTTTTGGAAAGTTATTATATAATTTAAGGACCAGACTAGTCAGGAATTTTCAGACAAAACATATTTTTTATCAGAAAATGCCAATGTGCTAAATTCAAAACTTGTTTGTGAGAGAAGGGCAGTTTAGATAAATTTCTTGATTAAAAAAAAGAAAATATAAGATTTAATATTGTCAAAACATCCTGGTTCAACATATTTTCAAACTGGAAATGTTTGATTATTCTGTTTGAAATAGTACATCTTTTTTGGAAAGTTTATGTTAAAGAGGTTGAAATTAAAATGAATGATTTTGATTGAGCTAATCCAAAATCCAGATGTTTGTGGAAATTCTTCCAACATTCAACTTTGCCCCAATTCAGGAGGAAAACTTTCAAAAAAGCCTTGCCTCTTGAAAACTTGCAAAACCCCCAACATTCTCATACAATGGGAAAATAATTTCCTGCTGCACTGAGTTGTAGTTGAAACTTTACCAGAATAGTTAAGATATACAAATGTCCTTGTGTAGACAGTTATACCACAACATGCACCTTATTTCCCGAAAGGAATGGAAGTAAGTATACATGGTGATATGAGGTACTTTTACACTAGCATGAGTGTCTCTACACCAAGGGAAATAACAGTATAAGTATTTCAGGAAAAAATACCACAGCTGTCACTGAAATTTTTATATTACTGCAACATCTGTATGTGGATGGAGCCTCAGAATTATTCTTACCATCCGGTGGGTCTGATTATATTGATGTGATTGGAGTGAATGCATGATCATAATATTGGAAGAAACTCAATTTGGCTTGTCAAAGCCTGTTGCATTTTTACTATGAAAAGCACACTGAATACAGATCCCTGTCTGCAGATGATAGCAATTTAAATTGAATCTCTGTAACAGGGAGAGAGAGGTTGGATGTACAAACCAAATGATAGACATGCAAAGAGGCTCCTGAATTCTTAAGTGACTCAAATCTCTGTCAGGTGTTGATGACCCAGACTCTCCAACAAATATGAAGATGGATTAACAGAGCAGGAAAAATGATCTGTTTATTTGTAAACAGTTCTTCT